AGTCAGGCTCCATAATGACTGAGACAAGCTAGATTCCAATAAAATGACATTTATTAAGGATAAATGTAAAGGCTTGTACTTGAGTTCAAAAAATAAACCTCCCAAGAACAGGAATGGTGGGACATGATTAGAAAGCAATTTGCCTGAAAAGGACTTCATTTTTTGTTTTTGTGAATTGCAAACTGTTGATGAGTCAGAAAAATGTGGCAGCTACGGAAGATGAGGTAACCTGAGGTGCATTCCAGAAGCTGTGGGGCTGCCCCAGGCCAGTCCCTCTACAGCCATTGCTTGGCATGCTAAGCTGAAGTGTGGGTTCAGTTCTGGATACCACTGTCTAATAAGATTCTGATAAGCTGCGACGTCCAAAGAAAGGCAACCGCAGTGGGTAAGGAACTTGAGTCCGTGTACTATCAAGACATATCAAGGGACTTGGGTGGTTTAGCGTGGAGGAGAGAAGACTAAGGGGCCACATGATATCTGTATCTGAAGGACTGGTGTGGAAGAAAGCATTGACTTGTTCTGATTGGCCACAGAAGGCAGAGTCAGAAGCAATGTGCCTTTCACAGCTGTGACTGCTAGTAATGGAATCTCAAATAAAACCAAGAGCCAACTCACACACCACAAATTGGCCAATGACTCACAAAGGGGAATGAACATTAGAGCATGAGGAGGAAGGCAGGCAAAAGCATACCTTGTTAGTGGAACTGGTAATGGGTCTTTCTGAATATCAATTTGGAATTGTGCAAGAAAGCAGATTAAAGCAGCCGGGCCCAGTGACCTGGTGATCCCACCACTACATACCTCAACAGGGACAAAGGTAGGGGAGAGGCTAATCAGTGAGAAAACGTTCACTGCAGCATTTCCCACGGTAGCCAAGAACTAGAAACAAAATAGATGACCATCGATTGCGAAATTACTGAGGAAATTGTGGCATATAAATGTAATAGAATACTATTGTACAGTCAAAGATGACAAGTGTGAGGAATTTATAAAAACCCAAGAAAATCTGCAAGTAAAGTCTGTAACAATGTGTTTATAACAATGTAATGAAAGGAAGCTGACCTCTGAGTAAATGTCCTAGAGACCAGATCATGAACCCTCTCTCCCTTCTCATGGCAGACAGGTGGGGGGAATAATAGGGCAGAATGGTGTGTACCTTGCCAGGTATGGCCACTATATTGAGTGGGCTTTTTAAGTTTCATTGCTTTTTGTTATTAGGAAAAATCCAATATGGAGAGAGAACAGAGGATCTGTTCAGAAGTCCCCTCACTCCCCCTCCAAAAGAAAAAGCTGATATAAGAACAACAGGCATAGATAAAGCTTCTGTTTTTATTTTAAAGGTGGGGGAGACTCATGAATGTTTGTAAACTAAACTGAAAAGTAAAAAAAAAATTCTTTGAAGGAGAAATATGGTTTCAGAACAGTTTCTAAAAACACTTTAATTGCATATTTAGCAACATATTCAACCTCAAAGAAAACTTAGATTTTGTATGATGGTAATTTTCAGCAGATTTTCTGCCAAAACTAAAACCTGTGATGCTGCAAGAATGAAATGGGGAAAAGCCAGCCTTCCATTGTGCTGATGAGTGTGCTTGAAGATTTCTCTTCTGTTCTGAGGTTTTGCTAAAATGACTTAATCTCCTCCAAATCTCTTTCAATTCCCCACTGAGTATCATTTAGGTCAGGCCAGCATGGAGGGAGTTCTGGGAACAGGGTGGGAACAGCCTGTGGGTAGTCCCAGCTGGCTCCTCCCAGAGGACAGTTGAAGGAGGTACTAAGATGGTTTGTCTGTCAACAAGCCTGTAATAAATGCTTCCAACTTGCCAGGCACTGTGCTGGGGATAACCCCACCCCCAAAAGGACAAAAACAGCTCCTGCCCTCAAAAACCTCACAATCAAATGGGAAAGACAAATGCAAGCAACTACGTAGAGTTGTGTATATGTAAGATATAGACAGAGTAGAATAGAAGGTAATCCAAGAGGGTAGGGCACAAAGACCAGATCATGAACCCTCTCTCCCTTCTCATGGCAGACAGGTGGGGGGAATAATGGGCCAGAATGGTGTATACCTTGCCAGGTATGGTCACTATATTGAGTGGGTTTTTTAAATTTAATTGCTTTTTATTACTAGGAAAAGTCCAATATGGAAAGAGAACAGAGGATCTGTTCAGAAGTCCCCTCACTCCCCCTCCAAAAGAAAAAGCTGATATAAGAACAAAAGGCATAGATAAGGCTTTTATTTTTATTTTAAAGGTAGGGGAGACTCATGAATGTTTGTAAACTAAACTGAAAAGTAAAAAAAAAAATTCTTTGAAGGAGAGAGACAGTTTCTGAAGGAGTAACTGGGGGTTCCAGTTAACCCTCCAGCAATAGGTAGGTTTTGAGCTGGATCTTGAAGGAAGCCACAGAGGCCAGGAGGCAGGGAAGGGAGTTAGAGAAAGCATTCCAGACAAGGGGACAGCTGATACAAAAGCCCAGTGTCTGGAGATGAAGTGGGCAC